CAAATTCAGCGCAGAGGACCGACGATTGAGAGGGCATTGTGGGCATGACGGAAACGCTCGATTCAAAGTGCACAATCGGGAAGCTGGCTGTTGCTGACTCTGGGTGTTCTAGAAGATCCGCAAGGTGTGGGAATCGAGTGTTCCACTCTGGAATTGATGATAACGGTGCTGCAGCTGCAGGTCTTTCTGTGTGTGAGAGACGTGTATAGGTGTGAAAGCAGCCCTCCACACCAGCGGCGTGGTGGCTTGGGGAGCCAACCCACATGGCGAAATTCGTGGGTCTAACTGTGGGTAATACCTCTTCCTCAGGATTGAACATCCCCTGCGGGTAATATACCGAGGAGTCATTTGAACCACCGAAGTCACCGGAGGAGCCGCTGGAATGAGAGGGATAGAACTGCGAACCATTTGAAGGTGCCGGACTCGGCGCCATATTGATCTCGGCCTCATCCTTCCAGCTATCAGAGTTGTTGTCCCACCCAGATGCAGGTTTCTCCGTTGTTACAAGCTTCATGACTATTTTGGTATTAGACCAATTTACCCCCGGAGACTTTGCGGAGACATTCAACTTACAGTCCTTGTTGTTGCGCAAAAGATTCTTCAACACCTGAATATGACTTGAGACCTGTTTCCGCGTCCTCCGCTTTCCAGTGACCTTGAAAATGTAATCTGCAATCAATTCATTCCTTCCGCGGGGTTTTCCCTCCATTGAGAGCTTCCTCCTTCCGATCTTTGGGATCTTTTGGATAGCTAAATACTGCTATTTAGCAAAAGTGTACAATTTTGAGATGTTGAATAAAAGTCTGTTTTACCTTCCATAAACGCCTCCTCAAGCTCCTCATCCCACACAGATTCGCCCTCCATCGAAGCGTCTCTCCTCTGGCGAGCTCTATATTGGTGATATGGCACCAAATCCTGCTCCTGCGCAACGGCGGCCGCCAGCGTTCTTGGAGTTGAAGCAGCCAGGTTGCCCTGCGCTCTAATAATTCTGGAACGCTTTCGTTGATCCAACTTGAGCGAGTTGCGCTTTAGCTGATCCGTATTGTTAATAGACACTGGTGACAGATTTCCTGGTGGTGACGGAGAAGACAGTTGTGTATTAGTTGAGGTTTCCTCAAGTGCTCGTCTGGATGAAGACGAGATGTAGCTTGTTGGCACACGAGGTGTAGTGACAGATGTGGGGTGCGTTGAATGGGAATCCAGTATGCCCTGGCTTGGAATAAACAGGGAAGAATTATGATTATGAATAGTGTTCAGCTGGTCGTCGTTGAGGTTGACGTTACTACTATTGCGGCCGAGAGAGCGGATATCGAGAAGGTCGGGATATAATGATGAAGGAACACAAGATGCATAGTGGTGGATAGACGAAGAGGAATCCATTTAATACTAAAGTAAGAAACCAAGTAGGCCCGCGCTAGAACTTGCCGAGTGTTTTTTATGCACTTGCTTGTATGATGGGGATATGTATGACAGGGATGGGCAACGGTAAGGTGTGAATGGCCGTAGAGAAAATAATGGTACAACTGCTGTACGAGGCAGACAATAGAGTGTGCAGTGTGCAGCAAGTAGCAAGCAATACCGGTAGGGTAATTATGTATGTAGGGAATAGAAGACCGTTGACTGAGTAATAAATAGAAAAGTGTACGAAAAATCGCCGAGGTTCTTACTAGGAGGTAAGAGAGGGAAGGTGGGCTGTATCTAACTCGTTGGATGACAATGCACAGGTTCAAAATGACCGTAGTGGGCAGTGGCAGTGAAAATGAGTGACACCGCGATCTGCTGTATTTGGAAAAAAAATACAAAAAAAGAGAGTGTAAAAAAAGCGAGAGAGTAAAAAAAATAAAAAAATAAAAAAAGAGAGTGTGACGAGAGAGCGGCGATTTTCGAATGAATGAATGTCGACTTGAGAGTGTAAGAACGAAAAGAATGGGAATGAAGTCGGTTTGATATAAAGATTGAAAGCTGTGGAAAAGTACGCCGGTTACAGAAACCACGGGAATCTTGATCAAATTCCTTAGAAATGCAGGACAAATACTCAAAGACCAAAGGAGAGTATTTCCAGCATACCAGAGAGAAAGAGGTTTTATTGAAAAATATAGGAAGAAAAAAAGTACCAAACATTTAAGTGGGAGTCTGTACGATAATAATACTATGAGAATGATGAACCAAGGGGCCCCCCAATTTGCTTAGAGGAACTAGATTTGACTACAGAAACCCCCCAAAATGGTCGCATCAATATTACCGCACCCAAATAAGATCTGATGGGTCAAAGAGCTGCATCTGGAAAAGGTGGTGCTCTTGAGCAATTGATCAAACAGTGGGGCAGAAGCAAGGGGTTTCCCAAGAAATCCTCAGGGGACGCGACTTTTGGGGAACGACGCGAAGAATCAAGAGATTTCACGAGAAGTACGTGCACCCATTGATGGAAGGAGGTGTACAACCTCAGCGAGGGGCGTAACTAATGGATTCCTCTATTCAAATATCCCATTCCAGTGTGTGTAGAAGCCCGATTGGGAAGGCTTTCGTGATGACCATCAAGCTTTCCTATTCCAGGGACGTCTGAGATTACGGATTAACGAATCTACAACGTTGGGGATAGAGATCTGTACGTCACAGCATCCATCCCACGAGGTGGTGTTCACGGAGTGGACACGGGCCGCGGGGTGCCCTCGAGGGATGGATGGACATCACGTTTAATTGTTATATCAGATTCCGACATAGGTTATGTATTTCGTCAACGTTTTCCAGAAGGGGACAAAAGGAAATAGCGCGAAACATATGTCCGGCTTAAGCTTTCCTCTCTCGATCCATGGATCCAAACGGTTCTCCCCAGTACCATGTAGTATGTACATAAAATACCTATTCTGTAAATACAATCACCGGTATATCTCGGTCATGCAATAGACGAAGATATAAATTGGGTGTTGCGGGGCTCAATTGATGCATGGATGGCCACTACCTAGAGTATCAATGATATATGCTAATAATATCCCAACTAGTAAGTATATCGTAGTCTGTAGAAGTTACTTTCGATCATGTACAGATTATTAAGGCAGGTGCACGAGAGATAACTCAAACCGTTCGAGAAAGAACGCCCCCGTTGCTCTTCGGGACCAAAGCAATGACCCACGGGAGACCCCTCCTGTCCTCCCGCAGCACGCTAAGTAAGCGAAAGTAGAAACTTTCTGAAATCCGGCATCAGAGCCGGTCTACCCTTATATACGGGGATGCGGGCGGGACAGGAAATCCGCTGGAAGCCATACAAGGCCGAGGACGAGGGAAAAAAAGAAAACAGATCTTCCACCCCGATCGCAGTGATGGGAAGGGAAGGGGGTAAAAAGCTCTTCTCTGAGAGGGCTGTCTGAACGGAGTTTCTTCTCAATCCAGTGGTGTGTTTTTTTTCCTTCGCGGCCCTCTTTGCTACCGATATCCTATTCACAAATCAGAACGCATTCCCATCGACAAAATGCCCGGAAACAATATTGGAATCGGCAAAGGTGAGGGAAGCTGTCTTATCTTACCTCCGTTTATCCTTATCCACACTTCCCCAAGGCAGAATGTTTTCTTGGCTGACTCTCTGAGGCTCAATGGATTGTCATGAGTTGTGAGACTCATGACGTCCTGTTTGGCTTCCGTTCATTCTCATAGTCATCTTCGTTGCGATAAAACCGATGATTAAGATGGCAGCCATTGCTGGGGGCGGAGTTTATTTCGCGAAAAAAGGTACAGATTTCAATTTCGTGGCGTGTGTGTGTGCAGTTGACGAGATGAGGAGGACTTTTTCCTCCTCGGGAACGTCCCAATGCCATGACTGCGGGATTAAGCTTCACCGCAGAACAAGCAAACTGAGCAATCAACCCCTTATACTTACCCAATGGCAAGAAGAGATGAAGGAAGAGATGAAAAATAAGGAAAAATAAAGAAAAAAACAAACGAGTTTAGCAATTAATCGTTGTTATACCCCAGGATTCCTCACGCCTGAAGCCTGTAAAGCGAACGCATCGATCATAATGAACCTGCTACTGCCACTACTAATATTCGCGACTGTCCTCCCTGCATTTGACCGTGATAACATGACATCAGTCTTATCTGTCGTTGTTACGGGAGGTCTCTACCAAGGTGTGCTTGCTACTTTATTTCTCACTCTACGCACAACAGCAGCTATCCCGGGGTTCGGATGACTGCCTGTGTCAGAGAACCAAAGCTAAACATATTGCGTGTGTGTGAAAACCGTTCAGTTATGGGGCTTGTCTTTGGACTCATCGTCAGGTGGCTGACACCAGTCCCGCCATCATGGAGAGGTGGTGTACTCGCTGCTGGTTTGTGACCCCTCCCCTCCCTCTCATCTATCCATCCAACTCCCTTTCCATCAATTGTCACCTAAACAGCACCTGCATCTCCGTTTGAGTCAGCTACGAGGTCATGGGGTGATGAGTCTGTGATTGCTGATCGAATTGCTTCATCTAGGAATCTTCAGCAATCTTGGGGACCTTGTAAGTTTATGGTTTTATTTTTTATTTCTTACTTTCCTGCATTTGTTAGATCGATCTCCCTGCATTGGAACACGTATCTTGGAACGTACCACGGATTGGTGGCCGTTTCTGGGCGGGCAACTCTCCCAAATGGGGAAAATGGGCCTTAATACCAGCTGTTATTGTGGTGTTGGCCCACATGAGAATATCGGCCGGGCGGGCCCGATACACTACCCAGATAGTAGTCACGGTCACGGATCACGGTCACGCATCTGATTGTGGGCGTGTCTATTGGGCGGTGTCAGCAGCTGTCAGCCCGGCGGTGTGCTGAAACTTGACATATCATTGTGCTTTGGAGTTGACGAGTGATATCTTAGGTGATCGCATATCTTTCGACACTTGCGAAATCTGAGCCTTTCCATGGCGAGGAAGATGTAATAATTCCTTGGCTCCTCGTCTTAGGAACAGACATTCACAGTTTTTCATAATGAATAGGTTACGAAAGGAATCGCATATTCGTCCATCTTTATGGTCGTGCAAACGATTGCAATGTATGTTTCTTCCACTATCTTTCTAAAGGCACAGAGCCCAATTTCCACCATATTCACAAGATCGCACTCGACTTTCTCTCCCCTTCGACTCCCATTCCTCCCCGCTGCAAAGACGCCCCCTTGATACGAGAACCTCACCGCTAACCAAACCCCGCGCCAGCTTCAATCTCGGTGGTCTCCAACTAATAAAAAGCGACTTCAACATCTCCCACGACTCCCTCGCCGAGGTCAACCTCGAGAAGGTCGAAACACCAATTTCACCTGCACCTCCTTCATCCGACGCTCCATTCTCCCTCCGCAAAAGCCTCACCATACTCGCCCATGCTTTCCGCCGCACCTCCTCCACCCCCACCCCCACCCCCACCCCAGCGCCAACAATATCAGACGAAAAGACGCCCCCCGCACCCCCCACCATCCCCATCAAGCGCCGCATCTGGCTCGCGCTGCGCCCATTCGTCACCGCGCCGTCAATTGCACTCTTGGTGTCGCTCGTCGCCGCAAACATCCCCGAGTTCAAGGCGCTGTTTGTGAAGACTCCTGGCGTCAACATGCCAGAGGCGCCGGACCAGAACCCACCGCTGGACTTTATTATGGATATTGCGACTTTTGCGCAACCGACAGTGCCAGTTTTGGGGCTGATCCTGCTGGGTGCGAACCTGAGTAGGCTCAGTATGAAGGGGCTGCCAAAGGGCTTTTGGAAGAGCGCCGTACTCATGGCGGTGCTGAAGCTAATTGTTGGTAAGATTTACCGATTCTCTGCTTTTGCAATTCTTGGTTTCCTTCTGTATATTGGTAGATCGGTATGTGGGGGGAGACTTCGTCGAGGGGCAATGAGGTCACCTGAAATGGCTGATCTAGGAATTGTCCCCGAGTCATTGACCTCACTGAGTTCTCTGGAATGAGGGAAACCCCACTGGAATGGGACGAACCTCGCAATGAGTGTTCGATCATGACATCTCACCCATCCTCTCCTTCTTTCCTCACACCCGATCACCCGCATACCAATTGCCCAAAAAAACTAGATAATAGGAAAAACGGGGACTAACTCATAACAGGACCTATAATCGGCATAGCCTGGACCACAGGCCTCACCCGCCAAACCAGCTGGATCTCCAAGGAGGACAAAATCCTGCAATTGGTGCTTATCATCGGGAGTGCGGGTACGTGCATGATATGGGGCGATTGCATTGGGTATGGTCTCGTGGGTGGTGCTGATATGAATATGTGTAGTCCCGACTGCAACGGCGCAGGTGTATCTGACGAATATATTTGCGCCCCTGGGGCCGGAGGGGTGCGTGGAGCTGTCGGCATTGTCTGCGTGAGTTTTTTTTTCCTTTTCTTGCTCTGTATTTTGGGTGTGAGAGGAGGGTGTGGAGATGCAAGGTGGATGGGACGACGGCTGCAAGGTGCGGTGAGAGGGAGATGGGAAGTGAGGAGAGGAGAGGAGGTTTCTGGTCCGGCTTGGGACGTTGCTGATTGAGTATGTGTGTGGGTTTGTAGGACTTTGTTGGCGCAGTATGCATTGAGTAAGTTGGCTCTATTTCCTTCATTCGTTCATTCCTCCCCGCCTCCTCTGTCTGCAATTGCGCGAAGAGAAAGCAATTTAAGTGGTTGCCAACTATATCTTTCAAACAAAGTTATTGAAACTGACTATGATAGTACTGCTAACATTAACTGCGACGATGGCCTACTCCCTTGTGTTTGTCTTGTAACATCCCCAAGGAGAGAGAACGAACGAAAAAAGTATTGGTTTGGTTAGGAAGGTTTTGGGATTTGCATGTAGGAATAAGGAGCATTTTTGGGAGTGAGGGGATTACGGTTATGATTGTGATTATGGTTATGGTTATGGGTATGTATGGAGTTGAGCGCATGGAGTTGCGCAATTGGTTATGAGTATAATGATGTGATTTAGCCTTTAGTTTATGATGAGCACACGAAGAGAGGAAAAATAGCATAGCAGTAGCAGCTAGCAGTCATTCAGTATACATATGGATGGATACATGTAGAGTAGTTCGGTATCCGTCATGATATCACTCAAACGCATTATGTCAAAAGTCTCCAGATAGAGTACTACCACGGTTTCGCCCCGGGGTGGGGGGGCATGTGCCGTTTCGGATAAAGTACCCTGCGGACGTCGGGCAGAAGGATGATGGAAGGAACAATAACTTCTCTCTGTATTAATATCGCCTCTTTCACCCTGCCAGGAAGAAACCACTCTTCTGTTCCTGCTTGAGAGATGCCTGGATCGGGCCGGTGGACCTAGCCCGGCGGTGTGTGCCTGCAGCAGATGAAATGGATCATACATGTAAATAGTAATAGCGCGCGGCAGTGATTTTCATAATTTCAGGTTCTGCATCAGTGCGGGGAGTTCTAGCTAGAGGAGGATGAGGGAGAGGGAGAGGGAGAGGGAGAAGGGAGACGGAGAGAGGAATAGGAGAATAGGAGAGGGTGCGTGGTTTCGAGATGTGAAGTTGTGGCAGGATGGGCGGTGAGACCTCACACTTACTTTCACTTTCACTCACACTCGCTCACTCATTCACTCTCACTCACACTCGCTCACTCATCCACTCAATTCATCAATCAATCCATCACTGCTTGCTAGTTATGCTTGTCAGTTGAGCCCTGTGTTCTGTTTGGTCTACTGCTACTGCTACTCTACTATCTATCTCTAGTTATCTCTATTTCTAATCTCTATCTCTATCTCTACTACCTACCTGTTATATTCCTATCCTGCTCCATCTACCACTCAATTTCTACTGATCAACCGCACGATTCTGCACGGAGCCGAGTTGCAAGCAATTACACGAGAATTGCGCTGTAACCCACGATCCTCAATTGCCCTATCACCGCCCACCACCACTTCCCACCTCACGACTACCACCTGCCACATCAATTGAAATCAGGGCTGCTCTATCGTGATAGATATCTGGCCTGCGAGATCAGGAATAAAGAGAGAGCGAGAGAGTGTCTACTCATCCACAATCTCCATCCTCATAACCGTTGATCTAGGCCCATATTTAATAGCTACAGTAGCAGCTAGCCTCGTTGCTCGACCACACATCCCAGTCAGTCGCGTTCACCCTCGACAACAAGCAGAGACAGAGCCTCCTCCACATCCCCTCCAACTCTCGAGTCCTCTACCCGCCTACCCACCTACCGCACATCCACTCACCCACCCACAATCCACAAATCACATCTCACACTGCACGCCATGGCAGACATAGACAGTCTCTTCAAGGTTCGTCTACCCGACCCCCGATCGCCGATCCCACCCACTGACGCCCCCCCCTCCAGAAACCCGCGCTGCCCCCCACCACCAGCAAGAAACGCAAAGCCGAGCCCTCCATAGATCCACGTAATCATCCCTTCCTATCTCCCTCCCCCTCACTTCCCCGCATTTCAGACCAATGTTTAACAGCCGCTCCTTCGACATAGTCGCCGCCTACAAGTCCGTGCGCCTCGACAACGCCGACGAGGATGGGGACAGCAGCAGCAAGGACGCCCTCCCGGCAGACTTCTTCGATGCGCCCGCGGAGGACGAAGAGGGTGGCCGCTTCTTTGGCGGTGGTGTTGATAAGAAGCAGGCTGAGATTCTAGACTACGTTGACGAGCGGGAGCGCGAGGACGGCGCGGCTGCGGTAGAGACGATTGACACGGCATGGCTGCGGCGTACGGCGCTGGCGTTTGAGAAGAAGATCAGCAAGAATGCCGAGATGCGCGGCAAGTTTGAGGATGATCCACACAAGTTCGTCTTTTCGCTTTCTGTTTTTTGCTGTGGGGGAGAATGCTGATTGGTGGTAGGTTTATGGCATCGGAGGCGGACCTCGACGCGGATATCAAGGCGCTCAGCGTGCTGTCGGAGCATCCGGAGCTGTTTGAGGAGTTTCGCAAGCTGGGATGCCTCGGAAGTTTGGTGGGACTGCTGGCGCATGAGAATACGGACATTGCGATTGATGCCGTCGAGGTAATTAGTGAGCTGACGGACGACGAGGTAGAGGCGGAACCGGAACAGTGGAGCGCGCTGGTGGATGGAATGGTGGAAGCGCAGCTGTTGGAGATGTTGGCCTCGAACCTGGAGAGGTTGAACGAGAGCATTGAGACAGACCGACACGGCGTATATCACACTCTTAGTTAGTATACCAGCTCTTTCAGCCAGATAGATACTAACTCAGCTTCACCACAGGCGTATTCGAGAACCTGGCTTCCCAGCAATCCCTAGCAGACCAAATCGTCAGCACGACCCCGCTCCTCCCATGGCTCCTCACGCGCATCCAAGCCCGGGAATCCCCGATCTCCCAGAACAAACAATACGCAGCCGAGCTGCTCGCCATTCTTCTCCAATCCTCACCTCCTAACCGCCGCAAACTCACCTCCCTAAACGGCGTTGACATCCTCCTGCAGCTGCTCTCCCCTTACCGCAAGCGCGATCCCGTAAAAGGCGGTGACGAGGAGGAGTTTGTCGAAAACATCTTCGATGCCCTTACCGCCATTGTAGACGAACCTGCCGGAAAGGAAAACTTCGTGGAAGCCGAGGGTGTCGAGCTCGCGCTCCTCATGCTGCGCGAAGGCCGCATGGCAAAGCCGCGGGCTCTCCGCCTCCTTGACCACGCAGTCGGTGGCCTGCAGGGCGCGCCGGTCGCGCTCAGGATTGTAGATGCCGCCGGGTTGAAGACACTGTTTGGCATGTTCATGAAGAAGAGCGACAGCGCTACGACAGAGCACCTCCTCGGTATTTTTGCCGCGCTGCTGATGCTGCTGCCCGCAGAGTCATCGGCGCGCATCCGCACGCTGGCCAAGTTTGTCGAGCGCGACTACGAGAAGATCGCTAAGCTCCTCAAGCTGCGATCCGGGTATGCAGCACGACTCGGAGTCGTGGAGCGGGAAATTGCGGCGCAGAAAGCAGCGATGGAAGAGGAGGCGGAGGAGGACATAGAGGATATGCGGGAGGAGTGGGAGTCGCGGCGGCTGGATGCTGGGCTGTTTTGCGTGCAGGTTGTAGACCTGGTGCTGGCGTGGTTGTGCGCCGAGGATGACGCCGCAAGGAGTAGGGTCAAGGAGGGACTTGGGGGCAGCCTGGATGCTGTGAGGAGGACGCTGGAAGGTATGTTTTCTCCTGTTGGGCTTGGGCGGAGTGGGGCAGCGGTGGCTAATGGGAGTGTGCGGGGTGTAGCGCAGATTGGCGATTTGGCGGCGGCGGCGGAGGCAGAGGCGGAGGGCGAGGCGGCGGAGACGAGGGATATGCTCAGTACGCTGGTCAGGTTCTTGTAGTGGCAGAGTGGGGGGTGTAATGATAATTTTTAACAGCGTTTTTATTTATGGACTTGTTTAGTTGCTTCTTCTGCTTCTTTCTCGGTTCTTTTTTGTATCGTTTTTTCGCCCTTTTGTGTGTGTGTGTGTGCTGTGTCTTGCGCTATGGATGTGTAGATTGTAGCAGCGCGAAGGCACGAGTGACGGATCGTGATTCTCCATGTAGCAACGGGGGAGAAGAAATAGTTAGTGGTCTGTCCACGTAGGTCTGGATATTCCTGGTACTCTGGTGTAGCTACTTCATACATGTACTTAGCTATCTATTGAGGAATTGGATTATTGCTCGTAATGCACTTAGCTTAGCGCTGGTAGTGGTTGTGTTGGAGGCTGGACGGGTGCGTCATGAGGTATCACTCATATACTACTAATCATTGGTCACTTGGTGGTTTTGTGACTTCACTAGATAGTTGGTGCGCTGACGGTTTGGTTTTTGGTTGTTTTCAGGGAGGTGTTTGGTAGAGGGGGGCATATCTATTGGTACGGCTATGGGATGGGGTGGATGTGTTGTATTGTCAGCTACTTAATCTAAGTAACGGGAGTAGTACTGAACAAAATAAAAAACCATTGCCTTAGTACTTACACGGTCGACCTGCAATCAATAGTTGGAGTGTAGTGCTGGCTGGTATGGTGTGGCTATCTACACAATTCTTAGAGGTATCGAGTGGTGCCTCGAGACTGTGAGTCTTGTGAGCTCACCAAGCTTACAGAATCTTCAGGGGGGAGGGGGAGCGGAGCCTCCTGTGAGGTATTGTCGTGATGATGTAGAAGAAAGAAAGGTTTCGAGGAAATTGGTATCGAGGCTAAAATTCTTTTAGTCACTATATGAATCACTACATGTATATAAGCCCGGTGTTACTAGCTCTAGCTCTTAGTCGGTACCCCCGAAAGAAGCCCTAGTCGCGCAATACAATGCATCACAACCCATCACTCTAACGCCAAGCCCTACCTACCCGTCCGCACCACCAAGAGCCCCCCGCTCCCTCCAGCAAAAGAAAAAATTGAATGACGCCTCGATGGGGATTTGAACCCCAGTCTCCTCTCTCACAGCGGGTACACTACGAGCTGACTTTTAAGAGGTATGCTAACCGACTACACTACCGTGGCTTGTCTGTACTGTGCGGATGGTAGATGATAAACCTGACTAGACAGACGTCCTCGGGTAGCAGACAGAAGGCCGGGTTACAATATGACGCGAAGAGATCACTGGCGGCCAGCCGCTCAATATGCTTGTAGCTACATTACCTTAACTTCAAGTCGCTTTGGGGTCGGCTACCCAAGAAATGGTTTCCATTTCCAGAACGACAAAATACCCACTACGTGCGTATGTATCGCAGGCACATCATCTTATTCAACTACGTACAGTCTACTGAATCCGGGAGCTCAGTTCACTCAGTATCTCTGATCTCCATAGCAAATTCTCAAACGAAAGACCAACCCCGAAATCTCCACCGCAAGGCCGTGTAAGGCTGCAAGTGTAAGTGACCGAAAGGGACGTGAGCCTCTTGCCTTGCCTCAACTCAAACGGCCTTCCTAGTGGGTCACAATGCGTATGATATGCAGGTACCTGAGGCTACATGTATCACATGCTCTATTTTAGACTACCTCCTCTGGCACCTGGCCCGCTTCACCTGTCCGGTCCTGTCAAAAGGTAGACACCTGATCACGGTCACGGTCATGATGCCTACCCCAGGTATCAGGTCGTGATTCAAGGGGAGTCACTCAAGTGAGGGGGGGTGGGAAGTAAGGGGTGTTCCAAGCTTTGACCAGTTGTGAGATTAAATATTACTTAAACGGGACACGAAAACTTACAACTATATATGCTTTGACGAATTTGAAGTACGGTTATTTGGATTATCTGCAGTTACAGAAGCGGGCGTTGCGGTCACCTACTAAGTCCTTGCCGCATTGGCTTCACGACGGGGAGATATACTTATACGGCGTCAAATTTACCGCGTTTCTGGGACTGGGGCTCGTGTGTGCATGCGGATAATATATATCAACGCTTCCAGAAGGAGTTCAGGCCAAATTAGCTATCGCTAGCTACTGGCTATAGTTTACACCTTTGTGGATATGCAAAATCAAAACAATAGGCTTTTCTTGCCGGGATCCCAGCAGCGCAGCGACACAGTCATGGTGGATCACTCGCCGACGTCGCCTCGGCTACTGTTGCTACCAAGATCCTCTCGAGTGGCATGGTAATGTATAGTCTGCCTTAAGCGGTATTTTAGACCTACGGATAATGTGGTATCCCCGAAAACTGGCGACCACAGTAGGTACATCGGTCGCTATCGGGCAGTCTCGAATCCCTAACTTTTATTAATTTCTTTTTTAGGCGCATGCGCAGCACAGTGCACCTGAGCAAACAACTGACATCTGCAAGTGTATATTTATGGCTTCCAAGGGGTTTGGTTGGGGAGTATATAACAACTATCCGGTTACGGAGTTGAATATAAGCTTAAGGGCTAGCAAACCAAACGCAAGGGGGGGAACTTTTTTGCCAAGATATCAATTAGTAGGGGCGCTCGAAATTGCGGCTTTCTACTTTTGTAGACCACACCACAGTAATATTACTATATAGTACTTTATATAGAAAAGATCTATTATTACACCCCACCTACCGTCGGTGTGGTGACGGAATTCTGGTGCAGGGGGGGTGGGGACCAATGATAGAAATTTGAGCTTTTATTCCTCATCTAGCCCTAACCCTACCAGGATGCCTGATTAGGCGAACTAAAAGGCATGATTGGTTTTTGGTCTCTCATTGGTTTATATCTAGAGCCAACACACTCACTTGGGCATTAGCTTAGCTGCGGATGCCATCTATCAGTCAAAGGTCAATGATAGAAGAACGGGCATGTCATTTGTGCAGGAGGATCCTGCTTGTCCCACCATGTTTGCGTGTTTTGATAAGCATAAACATTCAGTCCTGTTTCTAGGCTACAAGTGCAGAATACAATGTGGGCGAGATATGAAGTTCTGAGGTGTGCCAAGATGGTTATTGCGCGGTCAGATAGACAGGTATGTGGGGGGGCAGCGATTCTGCACATTCCCTTGAGATCTCTAGAGATTGTGTGTTGTAAGATGAGCATATCGTGGCCATGGTAATATCAACACGAATACCTATGGGTTACCCAAATACGTCAGTACATAGGTCGTAACGACGCAAGGTGAAATCATTATTTTGAGGAGGACATGAATACTAATCTTCATATCCTAGACCTATGCACTAGCTAGCTAGTGCCATGGCTTTATTTTTATTTTTTTTGATACGCTCCACGATCCCTCCTGTGCAATGATTGGCGCGAGATAAGACGAGACCAACCTGGACCCAGGTCTCTTGTCTCGTCTCGTTTATAGTACGCAGTAATTGTATCGTTGTGACTTGCACCATTGATAATTGCCTAGGGAAGAAGATGCTTGTAACCTCTCTTCTTCTTATCCTTGCACTTGATTTCTGGGATGATACTTTTGAAGTAATACTGAGAACCGAGAACATAAAGCGTTTTATATGAACTGATGATTAGATAGAAGAAGCGGGATAGCTAGAAGGCCGTCTCTTTATAGGTACAACGTAGAGAACAAGATGGCCCCAAGACGAAAGTACAGATAGTTGGGAACCACGTCCAAACAACATAACGAAACGTCAACAACAACTTGAACCACCGCAATGACTTCTATGCCACAAATAACATAACAGCACTGATGACACGCTGCCCTATAAGTGTACAAGTCATAACATTCTCTATCTGGTTTAATGCCACGTAATTATAACGCTCATACTCGGCCACTTCTCACGACCTTATGGAATACTGGATCGTTGTATTCACAAATGAATCTTGAAAGTCTCGATGCCCAGATAGGCTCAACCCAATCCGATTCAAGAATCTACATTAATCTACATCTCTTACTTCGTTCCCGCTATCGATATATTGCCGTCCCCTGTGCCCACTCCATACAAGATCCTTAGATGTCCGCCTAATCCCACGTGCTTGGCCCATTAATCCCACCAAAGATCCTAACAAACCAACCACGCCGCCGCCGACGCCCAGGAAAAAAGACCCTCTGTCAAGCCGCAAAGCGCAATTTCATCCCACTCACTAGAACAGAGAATGGAAACAATCTCGGACTAACATCTAATCTACTCTAATGGCGAACCTGCTAAGAGAAGCTTAATAACGAGACGCGTGTCGGTCCTAGTCCTGGCATGGAGCTTAGAGATTAAATCTTCCCGCATCCCGTGTGTCACCAGATATATGGCAGGTTATGCCTATAATATGCTATCCAGGAGCTATCGACAAGCCACGGTAGTGTAGTCGGTTAGCATACCTCTTAAAAGTCAGCCTGTAGTGTACCCGCTGTGAGAGAGGAGACTGGGGTTCAAATCCCCATCGAGGCGTCATTCAATTTTTTTATCCTTTCTTTTATTGAGGGAGGGGGCTCTTGATGGTGGGTTAGGGTTTGGTATTAGGGGGCAATCTAAGTAGCGAGCGGGCGTCGATATTTACCAACATCACTCCAACCAGCCATAATCATAACTCCACTTCTGACTTCTCAAAGATGGTATGGTATTCATTTATGTACTCTTGTACCTCATGCGTTCCTGTAACTTCGCTACGCTTGGCATTCACCAAGCCATACGAGTGATATACCATGATCGTCACAACTCACGATCCCACAACGCAACATCACCAAGAACACCCGCTCCACAACACGCTATCCCTTAAGCACAAGTTCTCACAACCATTCCGCACCATCCACCCCGCCTAAGTGGTCCTATAAGAAGTCTCATGCTGATCATTCTCATGAACGCACCCCGAGTTACACGAGCTTAGACTAAACGTACTACCTGAAAATAACCCACAACCACACGCCTCCGCATTATCCTCCGAGCTACAATCCCACAGCCCCTCCGTCAACGGCTCCAGCAGCAACATCATCCTCCAGCTCTGACCCCCACCACCGTTTGGCAGGAGCTTTGTGCGTATGAAGCCCAGCCGCTCGTAGATCTTTATGGCGTTGGTGTTTGTGGTTTTCGTGATTACGGATATCTGATGGCCATCAGGGGATTGCTGCGAGGTTTGGGGGGGGCGGGGCGGTGATACGTACCCCGTCGGCGTCAGCGTTAATGAGGGACTCCACGGCTTGTTCTACGAGTCTTCTACCTGGTCGGGTGTTTAGCTGTGGTGGGGTTTGCGGCAGGTTGGGTGCTATGAGAGGGACGTACCGAGACCACAGCTTCTGTAGTCCTTCTTTACGAGGAGCAGCATTATCCCGCCGCGGAGCATGTTGTTGTGGTGCATCTGGACGGTCGATATCACAACCCCGACGATTGCTTCTCCGTCCATTGCCTATGTGCATGCCAGCAGTCAGCACACACACACACACAAACACCAAGAACACGACGGATGCTTCGCATACCATGAAGCACAGCTGGGGCCAGCTGTCGATGGTGCAGCGATACAGCCACATGTTTGAGGGGAGCGTGGGGTCAGTTTTGACGACGAAGGCGCGGATTGCCTCGATTTTTGCGGGGTCAGCGGCGCTGTAGGGGGCCAGTTGTACCATTTTGGCGGTTTTTAACTCGTGCGGATCAAGAAGATGTCCAGAACGTAAGTAGCTGGACTGGTCAGGTGGATTTTTTTTGTGGTGACGGGTTGGAGATTGGAGAAACTGGTCAAGGTTGTGACGAAAGTACATATAGTTGTGTGAGATGCGCATGTGGCTTCGCCGTGAACTACATATGTGGGAGACACGTGGGATACTTGAGGTGAACAGGAATGGCCCCTTTTTGGCTCACTTGGGCCTGAATGGCTGTAGGAGACCAGCCCAGAAAGTCGTAGCCAATCAAGGATTCGGAAGCAAAAGATACGCATATCAGTTGATAATATGAGTACAAATCTCCAAGAAACAATAAGTATCATACCGTACAAACAGGGTGCAAGCCCAGCCGTAGTCCCAAACATACACCCCACTACCCCAGATCCCCTAGGTTAGGTCCTTCAAGACCGTTAGAGCCAGCTACACACCAAGAAGCCCACAAGAGAGCAAAGCCCCCCGCATGCGTAACATCGGGTTTCTGTGCGTCCCAATCATTTCCACCTATCCTTGACTGCCGACCCTCTCTCTCACTACCATACCTACCCCCACCCCCACCCCACCCCACCCCATCCAGCCCGTTCTCTCTCATGTATAAAAGCCCCAATAAAACAACGAAAAAAGCGGCCTCTATACATCACTGCTCATTCAGTATAGGGAGGTTTCCCACTGTTCGATCCTAAGTCCCCTAACCATAGCTTTATCCTATGCCCGGCCTCAATACAGTACCCACCCACCCGCCCCCCTACCTCCCACCTCCCCAAAAAATCTGCAGTCCTAAGCACCACAGTTCCCCACCCCCCCCCCTCCCACCAAAAGTCACTACCGTAGGGTTAGCCCCCCCCCCCCCTTTTTTTTTTTCCCCCCCCCACATGCACGAAAAAAAAAAAAAAAAAGACCAAAAAGATTAAAACGCTACTTTAGAATTCCCATCACAACCCATCACTCGCCACGCCCCGCCCCGTACCCGCACCCCACCCCCACCGCGCGCCCAACACCGACCCCGCCCGCCCCCGCCCATCCTCATCCCCAGCCCAGAGCACCACCCAACGCCCCCCCCCAAACCAGCCGCGGGCGACGTCCGGGTGGGTGGTGCAGGGCCAGGGTTAGGTTTACCACTACGTGCTTCTGCGAGCGAGAGAAACTCCAGACGGCGTTGCACTTTCTCTATTTATACGTTATGGGCATCGCTCGTATTTACAGAGATAAGGGGAAAAACATTCAAGTTGTTATTACTTGGTTCGAGAAGAACCTCGAAGTTTGGGGGGGGGGGGGGGGGTTACGCACCACCTACCACACAGATCTCCCGGGGGGGGGGGGTTAATCATCGCGCTGCACATTTTTCTTCACTCGCTCGCTCGCTCGCTCCGCCTCCCTGTTCGCTCTAACGAACCAAGAAAGCCCTCCAAAAAAAAAAAAAAAGCGAACGAGAAAAAAAAAATGAACAAAAAAACACTCACAAGCACAAGCACAAGACCGTAGCCAAACCCAAGCAGCTCTCTATCAATCCACCTTAACAACGTAAAACCCCAACTAAAATTATTTTACAATTACCCCCCCCCCCTCCCCCAACCGCACACCCTACCCCAGCAAGCCACTAGCCAGCGCCTCCAAGTCCTCCAAAGTCTCCGGCTCCTCCGCGGCCTCAATGACCCTCCCCCTACCCTTCCTCCCCCTCTCCTCCTCCGGCTCATCCTCAAACCACTTCCTCTGCCTCTTTGCGCCCCTCTCTTCCTCCTCCTCCTCCTCCTCCTCCTCTTCACTCTCCACCCGCGGCGGCGCCTCATACGGCAGCAACCCCCCACCCTCCCCGCCACTCTCCCCACCACTCTCCCCACCACTCTCCCCACTCCCCGCCCTCGCCCTCGCCCTCTCCTCCTCCTCCTTCTCCCTCCTCCTCCTCCTCTCCCTCCTCTCCCGCCTCTTCTCCTTCGCCACCCGTCTATCCTCCACATCCGCCACCTTCACCCTCTCCCCCTCCACCGCCACAAACGCCCTGCGCTGCTCCTCCGCGCTCCCATCCGCGCGGAACGCCTCGAGCCCCTGCAGCTCATACAGCGCGTGCGCATTGCCGTCGTCGTCAAAGACGAGCTTCGTCCCCCGCGGCTTGAGCTTCGCGAGCTCCTTGCGGGAGGTCATTAGTTTCTCGCGGCGCTTGGAGGCGATGGTGAGGTCTTTGCCGCCGAGGTCGATGGTCTTTGGTTTGGTGGTGGTGGTGGTGGTGGTGGTGGAGGAGGTGGTGGAGAGGTCGCTGTCGCTGGAGTAGCCGGTGCGCTTGACGGTGAGGAAGTCGTCGTCGTCTTCGTTGTCGGGGGCGGCGGTGGCGGTGGGGTCGTCGACGATGAGGTTCTTGTAGTGGTCTGCGAGGACGTTTTGGTTTTCTGCGGGTTGTCAGTTTCTGCGCGGTATAGGCTCTGTGCGGTATCAATGATAGGGATGCGGGAACTCACGTCTCTCGACCATGCGGTCATACTTCGTCCTAACCTCCTTCTTCTTCGCCCTCCTCACCCCACCCTCCTCCTCCTCCTCCTCCTCCTCCTCCTCCCCACTCGGCATATTCTCCAGCGCCTTCAACCCCCTCGGCGCATTCTTCATCTCCTTCACCTTCTCCGCATCCGCCCCCCTCACCCCCCTAATCCTCGGCGCCCCCGGCAGCCCCAGCGACGCCGCATACTCCTCCAGCGGCAGCTCCTCGAGCTTAAACACCTCCTTATCCTTCTGCACACTAACGCTCCTACAGTAGCTCACGAACGCCTTCTGCCCCAAATACTTAATCTCCGGATCCTTAAAGCACAGCCCCTGCAGCTGACTCTGCACGCTCTGCTTCTTCGCCGCCTTCGGGTTCACCCTCGCCACCGGCACCCTCTTCGCCTGCAGGCGCTCCACAAACGGCGCCTCCTCACTCGGCGCCAAAAACAGCACCGCCCGCCCCGCCCTCTCAAAGCGCGCGGTGCGGCCCACACGGTGGATATACGTGTCCGCGTCCTCGGGCGCATCCATCTGCACCACCCAGTCGACGGCCGGAAAGTCGAGTCCGCGCGCCACCACATCCGTCGCAAACAGGCAGCCGCTCTTGGCGGCCGCGAAGCGGCGCGCGACCTCTGCGCGCGCCGCCTGCTTCTGCTTGCCGTGCAGGTGCAGCAAGGGGAGGCCAATGTGCAGCTGCCGGAACGTCTCGTGGACGAAGCGCACCTGCTTGCACGCCGTCATGAAGACGATGATCTTTGCGGCGAGATGGCAGCGCAGGAACGCAAACAGCGTGTCGAGCTTCTCGTGCAGCGGCACCACCATATAGAACTGCTCTAGCCCCTTGGGGGTCGCCGCGTCCGCCGCCTCATGCACCGCCACGTACTCGGCGTCCTTTAGGCTCAGGCGGGCCAGGTCGGCGACATTCTTCGTCTGGGTTGCGGAGAAGAGGAGCGTCTGGCGGGACTTTGGCAGGTTCGCGACGATGGCGTCGACGGTGGCGCGGAAGCCCATGTCCAGGATGCGGTCGGCCTCGTCGAGCACGAGCAGCTGCACGTTGTCGACGTTGAGGCCGAAGGTCTGGTCGAGGTGCTGCAGCATGCGGCCGGGCGTGCACACGACGATGTTCATCTTGTGCAGCGCGTCGCGCTCCTCCTTGCCGCTCTTGCCGCCGATGACGAGGCCGGCGGAGAAGGCGTGGTGGCCGCCGATGGTGCGCAGCACGGTGAAGATCTGGGTTGCGAGCTCGCGGGTTGGCGAGATGATGAGGGCGCCGAGGCCGTCGAGGGTGGTCCATTTCTTGCGGTAGAGGATCTCGAGGACCTAGAGAGAGAGAGAGATGTTTCTGCTTGTAAGCAAGCCATTGAGTGCGCATGATAAGAGGGCAGACGTACAGGAATAAGGAACGCAAGCGTCTTGCCACTCCCCGTCTTCGCCGCGCCCAGCACATCACGGCCCTTCAGCGCGAGCGGGATCGCCTTGCGCTGGATATCCGTCAGCGTCTTGAAATGCGCCTGATGCAATCCCGCCGCCGTCTGCTTCGTCAACGGCAATTCCGTGAACTCTGTAGCTTGCAAATCCTATTTCCCCCATTACATTAGCCCTACTCCTCCAATGGTTTTGAGGGGTACAACACACAAACTCCGCAACCCTCCTCTCCAGCTCCGCCAGCTCCTCCTCGTCCCGCTTGCGCTTCAGGCCCTTTGCCTTTACCTTTACGGGCTTCTTAAACTTCGGCGCCGGCGCGCCCTTTTCCGGGACCCGTACTGACGGCATTCTTTCTGACTCTTCGAGTTTCGAGGGTTCGACGGTCCGAGTGAGGGGTGTGTGAATATTTTTTTCTTTCTTTCTTTCCCTCTCTGTCTAAGGTGAGGTGTGACAGAAAAAATTTAGGATGTAAGCGGTAGGTGACACTGCGCCATCAACTCGACTGCGAAGTGAGAGAGAGGTTACCCTGCTCCCGGCGATTGGCAGACAGCGGGCGGTCGGCATACCGAGTGGTGCAAGGTGAGGAGGCGAGGCAAGCGGCCGGGTGCCCACTCCACTCGGGTCCCGTCCACTAATCCATCCATCCATCCATCCATCCGCTATCCATCTATGCGCCTTTAACCTTCCAACTCCTGTCTCGGCTCGTGTCCAAATGCTACATACATACTACATACTACCTAGCTACTACTCTTCCATCGACCCTTTCTCTGCCGGCTAGAACCTCATATGCATGAGAGAGCGTTTTGTAATAATATTAGGTACAAGGCTGCTGGTTGCTGGCTGCTGGTTGCTGGTTGCTGGTGCCTGCCCTGCCAACGTACGTAACCAATCGGACTATTCCACCAACGCTTCCGCGTCTTATCATTGGCAGGGGCCCGGGGGGGGACTGCCGCTTCCCACTAGGGTAACTAGCAACTACCATCTTACTGGCTGCGCGCGCCACAGAGAGAGAGAGAGAGAGAGAGAGATCATTGATGTACCAGTACCGTACTTTTGACAGCACCAGTACTGCTTGCTTACATGTAGCTATCACAGAAATATCACTGGCACAGCGCAGCTCATGAATCATTTCCACTTTGATAATTTTCCATCCAGTAGAATCAAGCATAGAATTAAGCGTGGAGATTTTTTTTTTAAACATTAAAGTTCTATCCATTCTATTCTTTTTTTTTTTTTTTTTTTTTTAAATAAAAGTTCTATCCATTCTATTCTTTTTTTTTTTTTTTTTTTTTTTTTAAATAAAAGTTCTATCCAAGCCCTTCTTTCCTGCCTCACGCTTCCCGACCAGACCAGACCAGACCAGACCAGACGTTCAGCGCGCGCTAGAGTACCTAGCTAAATACCCCGACCAAAGTAGCGTACATAGACCGACCAGGCGCCAAAAACCCCAAACTCTCCCCGCAGACGCCATAGAAAGAGAAAGAAAAGAAAAAAAAAGAAAAAAAATCCACCTCACCCACAACGCTTCCCCGCATCACTAGCTTTTTTTTCCTCACTCAAACCACGGGCCGGCCGGTGACAAAGGTGGTTTTTTCTTCTTTCTTTCTTTCTCTTTCTCGATGGCGGACGGGACGGGTAAGTGCCAGTACGTAAGTAAAAAGGTACGTAAAAAAAACCCAAGACTTTTTGGGAGATCGTGAATATATCCGGCGCCAGATATCAGATCGGTGATTTATATGGTAACTGGGCGGCTGGTTGACACCAGTAGAAGGAGGAGCGGGGTCGACGCTCGCTTAAAGAAACGAATAGACCTGTAGAACCATGAAATAAAAAATAAAAAAAAAACGGGGGGGGTATTTAGTAGAAAGAGATTTCGATCTCAGGTTTGACAGAACTCCCGGACGGACCTTGGTGGATAACTGTAGTTCCGGCCGGAGATGTGCCGGGGCTTCAGTGGTGGGGAGAAAAAGAGGATTATCGTGTTGGGAAATCATTCTCTGTGCAGTAAAAAGCTGTGGAACCGTTCCGGACACAAGTTCTTCTGTGATACCCCCCAAAAGAGCCGGTATCTTCTTCCGCCATTATCAAAAAGAAAGAAAGAAAACAGGCTGCTGGTTAGTACAGACTTTGATCCCATGTGGAACATCACACGAAAGCTAAACTCAAAGTTAAACTCCCCCGCATTAATGATATTGGGAAGCCAGAGTCAAAATTGGCCGTAGATAAGATTTTAAGCTTTCGTCTGTCTCGAAGAACATGAGTAAATCATCTCCGCGCCAGCTTTTTCCCTCTGGATGTGACCATTAGCATATACCAAAGGTTGAAAGATAAACCTTCCTTAAATCGTAACACATCTTATCCATAAAATAGTTAAAATCACAGTATATCTCACCCGGATCTCGACCAAAATCGTTGCGTCTGTCAACGTGCCGGTCAAGGATAGGTCTGAATATCAGAAATCACCCGAGAAAACCAGTACAATCCAGTCAAAGGATATCAGGAGGACTTTTGGTGCAGCGAAGCAAACCCCCGCGGAGAACACGCAAGGCAAAAACAAGGCTTCAGCTCCACGTAGGTTCTTCGATGTTGAAAAAAGGTCCATGAAGAACTTTAGGTTCGCAGCTCCGGTGTAGTCGTTCGTGTTGTGTTGCTCAGGCTTAGATAAAAGCCCCCCCTCAGTGAACAAAGGTATAAAAAGAAATTGAAGAACAGCCGTGTCGATGGCAAGAGAAAGTAGTGAGCTCATCAGTGAGCACCCAAATACAACGAATAGGCAGCAAATGAAGCCTCACACCCCTATATCGACCGTAAGAAGAGGAGAAAGGCCAGGAATCAGGCTGCGATTCCGACAGAATCTCCGGCCCAAAAGTAAGGCGAAATTGATGATGGTGAGTCCGAGAGAAAGGGAGAAGATCATATGTAACTATAGATCGCCCTCGATCGTAATATCCATTGCCTGAGCATACCCCTTCTCCAATCCATGGACCAATCATACTCCCCACGTGGGCCCTCAGAGGGGGGCCGCCGAGTGAGCATCCATGATCTGTCTCGCTGCACAACCGACCGGGCAACCTGCATAATCAAGCGCCCGACGATAACGTGCAGGGTTATAATCTTGGCCCCAGCACCAGGTTCTTGGCAATGTGTAAGGTGAATCGACGATTCCCTTGCTGATCGCTTGCAACGTCCTAAAAACGAATAGCCTGGATCGTCAACCCAAGATAAGCAATGAGATTTAAAGCGGCGGATAAATTGCATCAGCAATGCCAAGAACTCAGAATATCTGTCTCATAAGATCTGTTGAACCGATGGATGGATGGATGGATGGATGGATGGATGGATGGTTGTCGGTAGTTGGCACAAAATCCAACAAGGAGCAGCATATCATGTAGCTGAAGGATTCTCAACCGATCGATTGGGTACATAATCTTTAGCAACGGATACGGAGTTTTGTCTCGTTTTTTCCAGATTACTCTGCAGTGATAGTTAGGAATACCCATATCGATAGCATCGAGAAACGGGGCAGAGAAGGCGTACCACAAGGTGCCCCTTAATAAGCAGGGAATACCTCATCAACCTTATTTCCCGGGCATAGAAGACATTTCAGGTACCTTCCCATACAGCGGGATATGCAACCAATCGTTGACGCATCTTTGATAGATTGTGGATGTTCCAGTTGGTATCTTAGGTCTCTTGAGATCGTTGACGGTAACACTTTGATAGGGCGGGGAGGCTTGTAAGCACCGAGGACTTTTGAAATCCGTGCCGTCAAGAAGTGTGAAAACTCTGAAGTAACTGCCGGTTCCCATTGTCATCCTAGGTATGCTATCGGTATTTCCTGAAAATATATTCCGATAAATGAATGGTGAAAGGGGTGAGGTTGATAGGAAACCCTCCAGGCAAGGAGGGGTAAGAATGCGGGGGAAAAAACCTGATAGTATTAGGGTTAGCTGTATATACTCAATTTCATATGGTTCATGTAATAGTTACCATTAAGATTCAAGTAAACAATATTTGGCATGCATGATAGGTCGGGTCTCGGAACCGTGCCTTCAAGCCTCAATATCAAAAACACGACCGCCAAAACCAATTCTAAACCTCGACAATGTAGGGGGGGTCTGATAAAGTAGAGCTAGGTAGTGGACTCCGCTACTTCTATCTTCCTTTTGTTTCTTTTTCTTTGAACTAGTGTTTCCAAGTGTTTTTGCTGTGGTTTCCCGTCTCGTAGCGCTTATAGTTTGTAGCAGTAGGCAACAACAGATTTACGGGATTATTGATTATGAGATCATGCTGCTGACCGGCGGCCAACCTCACAAACTAGATTCTTCGAGACAGTTCAAAGGTTGTGTTCGGCATACATACTCTATGGTTGACTGATATCTCGTTATTTTTGCCTTTTTTGAAGGATGAGATATGACCGGGAACGGTACCCAGGTTTTCATCGCCATTGTCAGTAGGGCGAGCATGTAATTACCAATCACAAGTTATTTCTCTTGATGAGTCTAAGAGTGTGGTACTCGGCTCCCCACATCAATTGGCCTATAGCCAGGTACGTACGCACTTGCATCCCAAGCAAGATATGCGAGGTCTCGAGAGAAAGTGAAAAACAAAACAAAAAAAGTTTCTTTTTGTCTCGAATCAGCCCCTTTGGTGGGTCAGTTACCCATTAGAAAAAACGAACGTGCAGAAGCGGACTCCACTCGCTCGTGCATTAACGACATTAACGTTTGTGATTGTTGTCTTGGTCCGCGGTGCGCGGAGACGTACTTCAAGGGAAAGATTCACAGATTCTGCTCACATGACCAATATCGCGGAGTACGAGCGTGTGTGAGCGCCGGAAAGCAGTATCAAACGAGGTACCTTTGGCCGACTGTTTATGACCCCCCTATCCTCTTGTGGGAAATGATGCTCAGGTACCCGCCGGTGTCCGCGCCTCCCTCGCCATAAAACCAAGACCGAGCTTGTCTAAAGATTTGACCCGCTCTCGAAAGGAAAAGAAAAGAAGAAAAGCGTTGAGAAAATTTTGGCGAAGAGAGGATCAACAAACCAATTTTTTTTTCTTTCACCTGCATGATACGGTAGAGAATTTTGTTTTGTATGAGGTCTGAGCAGATTATGTTTGCACGACCATTGCAATTGACAACCCCCACTACACTAGGAGTACCTACATCTATACGGCGACTGTACCCGTTACCGTACTCAGCCGCGGCTCGTAAATTTTCAAAATATTTATTTTTTGCTTGTCTACGTGTGTTTCTGTGGAGGAGGAAGAGTCCATGCACGTACCATTAATAGCCTCAATTACTATCGCCCCCCGAGAACGTGCTCCGCTTACGACTTCCATACCG